GGAGAGTGTGGTTTGCACATTCACTGGTTTCATTACACTGGTTCCATTTCAGCCAGAGGCACAAATCCTTCATCTGGCTATAAAATTCAGACATGCTAAGCTACCCGCTGTGGTGACCCATTGTGACTAGGGAACAGCCAAAAGTAGCTTATTTTCAACCAGCAGAAAGGACTGACTGTTTTTAACTCTGATAATCTATGATGTGACATCCTACCAAAATATCTTTTCCACTTTCCGGGAACATGACCCCGGAGAAAGTCCTGCCTCTGAGGGTCACCCTGCTCCATTCCTTCCCAGGAAAAGTTGGCACAAATGCCTGGCCTGCAAGTGCATTTGCTCCTAATTTGAGGCTTCATTCATGGTCCATGAATTAAGGGTTTCTGTGATATTATTTCCATCTTATATTAATTTGCTTACCCATTTGTGAAATATTAAACCTCAAATCAACAGAAAGATCATTTTTAGCTCACCTTTACTAGTATGTCTACTATCACAAGTCACCTATTTTGGCTTTTTCAATTAATTCAACAGTGTTTCTACAATTCTAACAAACTAGAAAGTTAATATTTGGTATATTCTTCAGCACAGCCTGAACTTTCTTGGCAACTTTTAAATTATTTCAATAGCCTTTCAGTATAAATCTCCTGGCTTCTTGAAAGACATTCAAAACTCTTCCTATGTCGGCTGCCTTTAGGTAATCCCACACTGCTTTATAACGTTGAGGTCTGCGCTCTGGGGAGGCTAGTATAAGACTGATAGTGCTCCAATGTGTGTTTCTCTTTCCAGGTATGCTTTAAATGTATTGACAGCGTGCTTTAGATCATTGTCATGCTGAAAAATGAAGCCAGCGCCACTCAAAACCTTTCCCGGTGGTTTTATTTGGTGGTGCAAACACTGTTGGTACTTTTCTGTGTAATTCCATCAATCTTGACAAGATCCCCAACACCACCAGCTGAAATGCATCTCCAAACCATGACAGAGCCTTAATGTTTTACAGATGGCTCTAAAAACTCATTGTTACCTCTCTCCTAACCTCATCTGTACATACTGATGATGATTTGAACCAATTATACCTCAGACATTTCTCCCGGCAGCCACCCTTCCACCGAGGCCATTTCTGATGATGCTTCAGTGAACAGTAGATAATCACTTGAAGGGTCAGATGCAACTCTAATTTCATTGTCAGGTCTTTGATCTATTTTTTCATTTTGCTTAAGGAGATGACTTTCAGTTACTGTTCATCTGCTGTGCCTTAAGATACGAAATTAATATTGGTTCTTCGCTAAGTTGTCCAACTGTAACACAGGACATGTACAGTACAAAGGAAAAAAAACAGATTCTTTTCAATAATGGCTGGTTGTGCCTCAGCGCTTGTCTTGCATTGCCATTGTAATTGACCCAGAGATAACGTGGAAGGGCTTACGTGTTTTATGATTTAGGGGTTTCAAAACCTTTCTTTACTGATAGAAAAGATGCACGTTGGGCAGAAAAACTCAGCCAGCAGGTGGCAGCACACAAACATCAAATCCCTCGGCAGTATTTTCCACTTCACCTTCACAAGGACTCCCTCTGCCAGATGAAAATTATACACTTTAAAAAAGCAGTCTTTATATATATA